ACCAGGTACAGGAAGGGCTGACTGTCTCCCTTCGCAGGCAGGTGGGAGCAGGGAGAGCTCCAGAAAGACCTCAGCCTGGCAGGAGGCCCTGTGAGGTAAGGGAGGCCCCGGGGGAGCTGGGGGAAAGGGGGTGGAGAAGGACTGGGGCGCTGCAGCGGCCACGCATTCGGGTGCCTTCTCTGATGGGTCAGGAGCGTCCTCGCTGACTGCCACGGGATGGGGAAGTCGCGCTGCCCAGTCCTCTGGGTCGACAGGGTGGTCTGTGTGCTGCGCACCCGTGCAATGCCTGTTGGTCTCGCCTGTGCAGCGAAACAGCAGCTGTAAGGCTCTCTCTGCTCAGAGCTCTGGTCACTTTTGTAAGTGTTCCAAAATGTGGCTGCTGCGGGTGGTTTAAATTCTATGAGTTTCTTCAACAGAGCTCTCTCTTCTTCAGAGCTGTTCTTTTTGGGATGTGCACTAACAATTTTTTATTTTATTGCCATCAGTAATTCAGCTTTTCTGACACGGCCATTAACAGCGCTGTTTTGGCCGTAGCAAGAGCAGCATCTGCAAGGTGTGATTCTTTCTCCTGATCTTCTTAAGGTTTGTCTAGGTTAAGGAAAAAGGTCAAGGTCTCTTCCTAATCAAGTCAATTCCTTGCAAGCCATCTCATCCAATGTTCTGAGTGGAATTAGACTCCAGAGCATGATTATTTATGAATCCTACAGAATGCAGGAACAATTGCACTTATTTTTTCTCATGGGACTGAGGCTCCTGTAATTCAAAGTTAATGTTCAGTGTGGAGCTGCAGAAAGAGTGATGCATGTCCTAGTAACAGGAGAATCCATTACACTGTGAAAACAAACTTCAGCTATTTACAGCTTCATTTTTGTTCATGTTCAGGTATCAGTCTTAAAGCCTGCCTGACACAAAGCAGTTGACTAGCACTAGTATGGTGTTTGGTGTTAAAATTCTGGATCAGACCTCTGTAAGCTCTTCTTAAAAAAAAAAAAAAAAAAAGCAGAAAAAGGCTGTCACCAAGTAGTTCTCTCAAATTAGTACTGAGAGGCAGCTTAGTTTTCTGTATTAAAAGGTTTTCTGACAGCTGCTAGAAAATTGAAGTTTGTTATGCATCTTCAAAGTCAGTGCTCCTCTAAGGATGTCAGATAGGTATGTATTCTATTTTAATTAATCCTGTTAACAATCAGAGTTTCATTCAGAACAAAGAACTGGGTGCTCTGCTTTTGTTCTACGCATCCTTTCGGCTTTACATGATGTTCCTTTTCTAGATTGTGATGCATCTTATTTCCTTCTCTTCCTGTTGTTGCTGCTCTTCCACGTTTTCCCCATTGTGATTCCCTCCATTCATTTCTGGTTTGCTTCTGTTTTCCACTTCTGTCCCACAAATGTTTTTGTGCTCTGTTTCTTTTTTAGCTTGTCCTGTCAGCCCTATTTCTCATTCTTTCCCCTCAAACCCACCCATCATTCTTCATCCATCTTTGTGGCTTGACTTAGGCCATGCTCTAGAACTTCCTTCTCTTCTGCATAAACCCCTGCCATTTATGCATCTCATTAACTGTAAATGTTTTGATCTTGCATTGAACCATGTTTGGCTACTAGAAATGAGAAAAAACACTTTCTGCTGCCCCAAAGACTATTGAGAGAGAGAGGCCTCCCTTCTACCTTACCAGCAGCTTCAGAAGGTGCTGCTATTTTCTTGCTTCTTTCCTGGCATCTATCTGGAGGTGTCTGTCCCACAGCCCCCATGGAGCTTTGAGTTCTCCGCTTGGTGGGGCGGGGGGGGGGGTATGGCACTCAGCTATGGACTTTTTTCTTGCCATCTGACTGGCAATTTGTAGGATTTCAAGGTTGGAGCTGACAGCTCTGTCAAGCTCCAGCTTTATGTCGAACTCTGTGCTTTCCTGAGGTGCTGGGCTTGTCCGCGACGTTAGTTTCCACGCTGCTACATCCAAGGTGCATCCTTTGTTCGTTTGGAAGAAGCTTTTTTCGGCACCATAGAGGCTGAACCTTGGAGGGAGGAATTTTGTGAGTGGAAATAATGCTTGCCAAGAATATTTTTCTTAGTGGCTGTGTACTTCAAATCCTATCTTAACTGACAGCTTTACTCTATAGATGGTGTGATGCGTTAGAGTAAGCTGCCTGCTTGAGGTTAGATGGCAGCAAGCTGGTCTTTTCAGTAGTAGTTCCAGTTAATCTGCTGCTAAAAGCCTATCTTCAGCGGCAAGTCAATTAGATGTAGACAAAGCTTAACTTTGTTGGCTTAAGTAAAGTCACCGCTTAAACTTTTAATGAGTTCTAATTGAAAACAGCACAGCCTGGAGGAGTAGGAAACAGAACTTGAGCCTCCTGCTGATAATAGGTGCTGTCAAGAGTCGCAGATCGAGAATGCAAGTCAGTGAAACGCTGCGCTGAGTTAGAGCGGCATATGAGGTACATGCACGATCACAGGCTAAAACTTAATTGGCACTTCTTCCTTCCAGTGCTATATCCTTTGATACCGTTAATTTAACGGAGAGGAGAAGCTGGGCTTGATCTTGGAAATAGACCTGCAGCCAAGAATTCCAGCACTCTCGACTCGTCCGCCTCTTGCCCTGGGCAAATCACCTAACAAAAGTGTAAGGTTAGGAATACTATTTAAAATGTATCCTTGGATTACTTAGCAGTACTTGAGATGAATTTTTAAAAGCAACTTGGCTAGCAAAGGGTTTTTTTCTTACTGCACTTAGTTCTGTGGCAGGCTTCTTGAGCTTAATGCTATATTTTAAGTTAAAAGAAGTCTTGTGGATATTGTTAAGCTTTGGAAAAAGCATGTTATAATGTGGCTGAAGCTGATAAATTTAAATTATCCTAAGATCTTGTTAATATACAGCACCTTTTTACCAGCCTGTAAGGTGCAGGTAGGGGGAAGTCTGTATAATTTTCAGTGTCTTCAGTAGTGTTATGAGATTTATGTGGAAATGGAGAATAAGACAGGCCCCCTGTGTTGTTGCATCCGATTCCTTGCAAGTGAGGACAGCCATGTGAACTGCTGGTTTAGAAGGAGCATTTCTTGTCCGCAATTTACGAGCCAAGAGACGCTGACAAATTGTTTTGTTTCTAAAAGCCTCTCTTTTCCACAGGACCTGACTGCGCGTGGAAGTGGCCCTGCCCTGGAGGTAATCAGGGCTGTGTACTGACTGAGGGTGCTGTTTGCTGCACATGTGCCTCTTTTACAGAAGTTGGTGTGTGTATAAGGAATGAGGCAAGGGACTGTGGGAAGAAAAGGCAGTTTTGTGACTAAGAAAGCTGCAGATCATGGCAGTTGAAAGTCCCCTGGGATGGTATGCTGTTCCTACCTTTTCCAGTCTGTTCCTAGGTAATGCTGGGCATGTCCTTTCAGACACGGTTTTCCATCCTTTCTGGATACCCAGGGAAGAGATGCTGAATTTAGGATTGCAAAAACTGCTGGGTGTTCTTGATTGTGCCAATTGCAATGGGGTTCTGCTTAGGTTGCTGAGGATGATACAGAAGTCTTACTACTGAAAAACAGGTTTAAAAGTTCAGGGCTTCTTGTTTTGGAGTTTTCTTCACTTTGCCTGACTGTATTCTTTTATTTTTCCTGGACTGTCTAATAATGCTAGATCACAGCCCTGTCAGGGACACATAAGCCAGCAGAGCTTGGGTGGGGGCAGAAGGAGGAACTGAAGAGAAAGTCCTGCTCAAGCTGCGTGATACCTGTAGGGGGGTAGCAAGTGCAGCCTGGTTCACACCTGGGATCTGAGAGGATGGCATGTGCTTGCTGCAGATGGAACAGCTGGAAAGTTTACCTGCCAAGTCCTCGATTCTCTACTGAGAACACGTGGACTGCTTTTAAGGGGCTCTCAACTTGATGAGACACGCACAAGTGCTTTTAGAGACAGCTAAAGAAACAATATTAGCTGAAAGCATACCCTACTGATATGTTTGCTCCAAAGCCTCTCAGTGAAAAGGCTGTACCAACTGCTTTAGCCTGGTAAAGTGAGCGTTTTGTAAACCTCCTCTGAAATGCTTTAGTGACCTTTTTTACCTAGTCTGTTTCAGACAGATGAAAAATTAAAATTTGGCACGTTTTGAACAATCGAAGTGAGTTCTGTAATAATGGGTGTCAGGCAGCTTTGATCAGAGTTGATTTTGCTTGAACTACCTATGATTTTAAAGATACTTTTGAAGGTAGAACACTGCTAGTGAGAATTATTATTACATAACTGGCTAACTGCCCAATATTCTTATTTGTAAATTAGTAGTTATTTTTGGTATTATAATTGGTTTTGCAGACAAATTAGTAGGACACTGGCTTGGCTTTATAGCACAAACTTTCCAAACTTGCAGTGGGCTTTTATGCTGAAGGATGAAACCTGCGGATTTCGGCTCTACTACTTAACTAAGTGTTACTCAATTCAAAATACTTCCATGTAGTCTTTTTCCTTAGCTGCTTCTGGTATTCATCTGTATGTGTGACTATGTAGAGGACAGTGGAAAGCAAAAAACTTTGCGGGATCCCAGAGATACGGGATCAGTGGTGTTTTGCAGATGATTCTGAGACAGAGCTTGGAAGGTGCACTTAAAAGCTAAACTTGTTGCCTTGGAAAGAATAAAATCCACTAGAGCTCTCAAGGAAGCTCCTGTTAACTATAGCAAGTAGTCTGGCATTTCACAAAGTTCTTAATATCTTACTCGTGATTTCAGAAAATTCAGTTATTTCTCTTTTTGGTAAATGAGGAACTACAAGTAATACTGATTAGGTCAGTGACAAGGCATTCTCCCATCTCCAGTCATGCTTCTGTGATGTTACTGTTGGATGCAAGCTTGTCACGGTGGTGTTACCCCTTCTTCACGCGCCCTCCCTAGGGATGAGCTCCTAGCCTATGTGGGGGCTACACGGAACTAAGGAATGGTTGGAGGACATGTTACCATCTTCGTCTTACCCATTACAGGAGGAGTTGCTGTGGTAGTGAGTTAATGAGAATCTAGCCAAAACTTTGGGTCATTGCTAGAGCAGTATCTTGTCATCCTGCAGCAGAAACTGTATCTACTCCTGTTATGCGATTAGTTGGATAGTTTTATTTAATTTTCATTCCTTTCCCCCCCCCCCTTTTTTTCACTAATGCTTCTAATTTTACTTTTGCATGTGGTGTGCATACTTTGGGGCATTTCCATGCTATTGCAAATGTGAAGACTGAGACATAAGTCTGGTTCTTCAGTCTTGGAGTAGCTTTTCTCGCATACTGGTGAACTTGGAGCCGTGGCTTTGGAGACTGGCTGAACTGTGGCTCTTCACTGAGATTGTGCAGTGTAGGAAGCTGTAGCATAAGCGCCTTCTGTGTGTTGCTTTAGGGACTGCACAGATAGAGGCACCAGAGAAGGATGTAAGACCCTTTGCCAAAGGGAAGCTTGCTGTTACTTCTGAATCCAGGGAAGTAAGCAATAAATGTGGACCGCCTGAATTTTGGGAACTTCTTTCCATTGGGCTGTCATTTATTGCATTTCTCATCGTTTGTGCTGATAGAAATTAATAGGAAATTATAACTGACCGACAAGCTGGATTTTTATAATAGCTTTAATAGCTGCCGACGGAGGTGAATGTTTTAAACTTATCAACTTAGCTGGTGATGAAAATGCATTTATATTTATTTTCCCCCATCCCTTTCAAGGGCATTTTGTCAGATGCAGAAAGGGATCTAGTTTGCTTAAAGGCTTTTGCTTTGGTGCTGCTTATTTGTAAGAAATCAGAAAAACAAATTTCCTGGACACATCTGTTCTTGACAGCTTTTATATTTCTACTGGCCTCTTAAGGCTGACCTTTCAGATGGCTGACCTTTCAGATGTAATACGCTAAGTTGTTGTACGTGCACTCAAAGTGCAACTTCTCAGGCACTTAGACAATTAAAATTGCTGTCATAAAATTGCTCTTACAGTCAGTAACAATTTGTGCAGGCGTTTCTGGACTCAGCATCAACTTTTATGCGCTTTGTAAGAATACAGTTTGCTTCAGATTACGTCCTGTTTAACTGCCCAGAGCTGCTATCACCAAGAGGCAGTTGCAGTCTTTTTATTTGGCTTTTAACTTCTCAGCAGTATTCACAACTCTGCTTGCAGAGCCAACTTGCTCAAATGTGCTAAGACAAAAGTAGCCAGTAAGAAGCTCAAATTGTGGCCCTTTTGATCCTGAGGGCTCTGTGGCATGTTTAGATCCTCCGCACACTTATTAATTAGCTACTATTTCTGCAGCATTTTGAAGTAGAGCAGAGTTGTTGGGTGCCAAAATTTATATATACTTGTACTGCTTCTGGGAATGTTTTTTTTTTCCTTTTGTGAAAAACATTCCTAGCTCCTTTTCTGCAAACTGTCTGTAGTTTAATGAGCAGCATTTCCTTTAGTGACTTTCATCCTGAGAATCTGCTACAAGTACTAACTAATAATGTCTTTGCTATGGCGAAGGCAGAAGATGTTATCTCAGTGATGACAGTACATCTGGCAACGTACAAGACGTAAATACAACAGTCCCAGTCCTGGAAAGTTATACAGCAGATGAGTAGCGTGGATAATAAAGTTGTAATGCCTTCCCAATTTCCGGTCATGTGCTCTTAACACACAGAAGAGGTGTTGCATGTTCCCTCTACTTGCCTTCTTACCATATTTCGATGGTGAGATCCCCAATTCTGCATTTACCAAAATGTTTCGAGTTTCAAATTCTGAAAAGACTTGGATTTGCTTTGGTAGTATTTACACTGCGTGGCAATCTGTTTGAATGCTGTGACTTAGTGTGCCTTCTGTCTGTTTGTTATTGCTATTTTTATGGTAAGTGACAACCTTTTTTATGCAGAACCAGTCGGAGGAGCATAGCAGAGAAAAGTGAGGGGAGTTGGTCAGGAAAGGCTTAAGTAGTGCAGAGCTGGCTAGTGGAAATAACTTTTATTTCACAAAGGACTCCTGAATATGTGTAAAGAAGCTATCAATGTCTTGTAGTATTTCTTCTCCAAAGGCCTTAAAAATAGGGGGTGAAAATCTGGCAATCTATACGATGCTTTTGTTGCACCAGTAGTGAATGAGCTTGTGGGGAGACTATAACTAGAGGTGGCTGAAGTAAAACATGATACATCTTGAGATGAAGAAATCCTGTTGATTTGTCATCCCGTGGCTTTTCTTTAGCTTTAAGCTTTTGGCTTAAATACACTTTTTTAAGCCTTAGGTTGATTTTCTCTTTAGCTTTCCACCTCTAACTGATGGCTGCCCCAAACTTGTTACTGTCCAAAACCTTTTTTTTTTTTTTGGGACATATATATTCGAATGGTGTATTTAGTTTGGCACCTTTGGAAAGGTGCCGTTTTGAGGGGAATTGATGCCTCTGTTTAACTCTTCCACTGGTACGATACAGAGAACTGCAGTATGTGCCTTTCTGCTCTCTGTGTTGCTGTCTCGGTGCTGGAAAACCTGCCTAAACGCCATTCGCAGCCTCGGGCCCTTCTGAGGCAGCCAGATGCTCCTGGTTATTGCTGAGGGGAGTAAGGAAGGAGCTGCAATAGCATCTCGTTTATAGGACGTGGTACAACAAGAGACCGCAGCCAAAGGACAAGCGTTTTTAATCGCCAGCAGACTTTGCCTAGATGTGGACCAGTAATCTCACTATCAAGAGACATAGCTCTACCACTTTCTTGGGTCAGATAGCCCTGCTTTAAATCATTTTTTCTTCTCTGGAGTAAAATAATTAGATGTATGAATTATTTTGGTTTTTTATATGAAGGATATTTTGTATCTTTGTTTTTGAAGGGTAGCACACTTCTGTCTATTCTGGCATAATATTGGAATAAATTCTTTAAGCAGTTTAAGCGCTATGTTTTCTGTATTTACTTCTTGACAATACTATGATGAACCATGTTCATGAGTTCAGGCAACTCTTTCTTTCAGGGATAAAATGCGAGAGTACAGATTTTGTAACAAATGAGGCGAGCCTTTCTTAATTTCCCAGCTTTTTCCCTGTAACGAGTGTTGTTTGTTCCCCCCCTGCAGACTATTGGGTACTGATGGATGTTTCCAACAGCCCTGAGCGAAACCCTTGCTCTCCTGATGAGGAGGACCAGCAGCTTTCCGATGACGAAATCCTGAAGGAGAGTGGTTCGGATCGGGACCTTGATGGAGAGGGTGGGCAAGGCAGCGTTTTGGAAGAGGAGGAAGAGGATGCAGCCAGGGGATTGAGTCAGGGTGAAGAGGAGAACCACTCAGATGAAGAGGACCGCTTAAGCGAAACCAAGTCTCAGGACTCTGACAACAATGAGCAGAGTGGGGAGCTGAAGAGCCCTCCGCCTCACAAAGGAGAGGAGGAAGACCGGACAAATGACCTTGGTGATGAAGCGTCCTCTGTCACTCGGGAACTAGATGAGCATGAATTGGACTATGATGAGGAAGTTCCTGAGGAGCCAAGTGCTGCTGCTGCAGAGGAGGATGCTGAGAAAGCTGGAGGTGAGGATGATGAAGAGGAGGAGAAAGGAGATGATGCCCACGAAGACGAGAAAAAATCTAGCAGTAAAAGTGACGATGAGAAAGATGGCCAGGATCCCCTCAAGGAGAAGAAGAAAGAAGAAGATGATGGAGAAATTGATGATGGTGAAATTGATGTAAGTAGGAGGTTGCCCAAGGTGGGCAGAGTTCTACAAGGAGAGCTCTTCTGTCCTGTCCTTATATTTTAGAACTATTTGGCTCTTGCTGCCATGCCTTTTTTCTGGTTTAACATGATAGCTGCATCCCCAGTGTGTAAATAAGACACTTTTTTGCAGGTAAGACCATGTTATGTACTGAGTTCCAAATTTAGTGATTACGGTATCTGTTGCCACATACTATACAAAAATTTTCTGTGCCAAATGTTGTCACAACACTTGCAAGTAAACTTTGTTCCCACCAAGTATAAAAGGGCTCTAGTTCTTTAAGCAACTCTTCTGCCTTGGTTCTAAAAGGACTTTTGGATGATTCTGACAGCACATTACTTAGCCATGGACTAGGCATTCATAGACTCTTTTCAGTTTAGCTTGGGAGGCTGGTACTGCAGAGTGGCTACCATATTTGAGGTGTCAGGAGTATGGGGGAAACCCATGAGCCTAAATTGTTTGTACTGCTCTAGCAGCTTCCGGGAGCATGGAAGAGGACCAGATTGTGCTAGGTAGTCTGTAAAGTGTGTAACCAGCCAGATCCTGCTCGTGGTCTGGGCAACCTGTTCAGTGCTGTGCAGTTCCAGTAGCTACTCTTCCAAAATTTAGAACAAATGCAGATATTTAGAAAAACCAAAACCTGGTTTTAATTGCAGTAGTGATTAGGACAGATGGCACTTATTTATCCCTGTATGTCTTCAGATAAGAAGCACTGCAGTACAGCAGTTGTATTTAATATAGCTTAGTATTAGTTCGCCCTTACAAGCAGAAGGGAACAAGACAAAGTGACTTCAGCAGTAGAGTGGAATCCCTCCTGTAGGTTCCTCACCTGGTTGAGACCATACTCAAATCCGAATAGCAGGACTACAAGGCACTACTAAAAGGTCGCTGATCATTAGGGCTCTTCACTGTCTGTGAGATAACCCAGACCGCCGGGCTGGCTCTGCTCCTTGCTGTCTGTGCCAAGAATGCTCCTGCAGAACTAGACTAGTCTGGGGCAGTATTATTGCAAGCGCATCCTGATGACCGTGTGAGGAAGCAATGGGTTGTGGAACAGGATCACTGGTAGCATTTCTCAGCCCAGGAATGAAGTGTTCACTTTTGGCAAATGGGATTGCCTTCCAGTCCTGCTGAGGGAGAAGGAGCTAACTGTAGAATAGTGGCCTATGTCAATCTGCGTTTGAGCCCAGGTGAAAATGATTGCATCTTCTTTGGTGTAGGTTATCTGGCAGAGGGACTTGTGTCAGCAGCCGTGGGTAGAGTTTCCATGATCTGCAGTTAGTTTGGAAGAAAGATAGTACGCTGCTGTCCAGCTGACCTGTCCCTGCAGCTGGCCTTGTGTTTGGAAAGTTTGAGGGGTGTTGTGGAATCCAGCTTACGGGGGCCTCGCTGGAGAGGCCCTCCTGCCTTTTTATTGATTGGAAGAGTGGCTTATTCCGGCATATATATAGAGGTTTGGTTTCTTGGTTACCCTAAGGCCAGAACAGAACCATTTGCTCCCTAATCAGCTGTTCTCTGACAGAGAAATGAAGAAGTGATGGTTTGTTTTTTTAACCTCTAATCGTGCTTAGACAAGTTCTGTTGCTTAAAAAAGGTGATGTGATTTTTCTTCATGCCTGTTCTGGCAGGTGATCTGGTTAAACGCTATGTATCTTTGAAACATTTTGTATATTTCTGGTTGAGTTAGAAGAAGGAATTTCTGAGTGAGAGCAAGAGAGAGAGAGAGAGAGAGAACTTTCTGGAGTCCTGACTCTATGCCTACTTCTTGATTAAAATATGAATACTCTCCTTTAGAGTCTAAGGCATTCTTAGGAGCGCTCTCCTCACAAAGCACGAGATGAATCTGTACTTTGATTTTCATACATTAACTCATAACAGGGTTCCCAGCTGCCTGATTCCAAGGAGACCTCACAGAAATAAATACTTTCCCTTTTGTTCAAGTACAACATTTGCAAAGACTTCACACAGTTCTTTTGAAAGAAGCTGAGTTGAGCTGGTTATACCATTCACATTTCATTGAATACCAGACCCAGCTTTTAGGGAAACTTAATTCTCTGCATTTTATTCTGCTTTCAGACTTCTGTCTTTATTTGGGGGGGGGGGGGGATTTCAGTGCAAAACTTAATTTGAATATATGTGTAGTCTTTAAAATGAGTCCTTGTTCAGGAGAGCCCTCCTTGTATTGCCCTCAAAGGAATGTAGTAAAGAGGCTGATAAACCATCTCTCTGTAGTTCCTTTGTTTATCTAGAGCCAAGTGATGTTTTTTCCTCAATTCCAGCTGCTAAATTGATCAAAGTACATAAAACTTTCTTACTCTTTTCCATGTAGACAACTGCTGTCTTTGCCACAGGGATGTTATGCTTGCTGTGCAGAGGGAAGGCCTCCACCAGATGCTCTCTATCCAGATGTTTCATAGGCTGAAAATGTTTTAACTTCTGTGGTAGTGAAATGGAGACAGACGCAGGGAAGGCTAGGGGGCCTTTTAGGAAAAATAGCTGATTTTTCTGAGAGTGTGTCAGATACCTCTGACAACTCTCCGTTCCGTTCATGTATGCCTTTCCCTTCTGCATCGTCACCTCTTTTTAATTCCTTTTGACTTCTCAGATATGGCCTAATGAAGCCAGTGAAAAGTTTTTCCTCGAGAACAAAGGCAAAGGCCAGGACTTTAAAGGTTACTTTCTTCTCGAGATGGTTTCATAAATGTAATTTGGTGTGCATCTCCTGCGGTTCTTGATCTTTGGAGCAACCTCCATCTTCCCGAGTTTCTTTCTGTGGATGCTATGTTGTATGGCACTTGATGATGATGAATGGTTTTGCTAGAGCAGATCCTTATCTCATATGTGGAGCTAAGGAATAAAAAGGAAGGTGTCCAATTGTTGCTACAGAGGACTGGAAGAATGCATGTGACTTTCTTCCTGAAAAGCTTGTGCGTGAGATTGTCACTTAATGCCTTGGGGAAGCATTTTATAGTTAGTTATTGTAGTAGAAAATGTCCTTTGGAACTTAACGTGTAGGTGCATGATGTCTGTGTTGGGTCATTGTGCTAAATACCTGTACAGTGGAATACTGCAGTGTATTTTAAATCAACTAACAGAAGGAACCGACTTGAGCTGCTTGGGTATGGTATGAGCGCTGAGCTGGGGGCAGTCCCAGTTTAGAGACCCTGATGCATGGTAGATTTACCCTGTGCCAGCTATCAGTGTGTATGCTTTTAGCCTGTG